CTGTCTCTGGGGGTGCGGGGAGGACGGTGTCGCATCCCAGGTCGCACTACGGTGAAGGGTACGGATGCACCCCGAGTCCTGGGAGCAGGGTGTGCTACCATGGATGAGTCCCATGCCTTCGCCGAGCACACCCACACGTGGCCCAGGGGACGAGGGACATGTCCTCCGGCTGTGCCACTGCCCTGGCACCTTTTGCCTTTGGTTTCCTTTCACTGCCATCAGCTTTGCTCCCCACCACATCCCCGGCGTAGTCTCTGCTCCATCCTTCCCATCGCTCTGCAACGCAACACTGATGGATGGCAGCTGCCAAAGGAGAGTCCAGAGGATCTCGGGATAACAGGGGGGGATTTGAGGAATGTGGCAGGATTGTGTGTGGGTAGGTCACAAACACACAGAGATCGGACCAGCCCAAAGCACCTCCATCTCCGTGCTGTGGGAAGGCATCAGGCTCTCCTGGTTTTTCTGGCACATTGTGACTGGTAGCAACATCATGAAATGACTGAGTTTATCACCCGCTCCATCACACCATGCAGACCCCTGTGTGTGCCCCTCCTGGGGCCAGCCCACTCTGGGCTCCCCAGCCAGCACCCACAGCGATGGCTGGGCAACACCGTGACCTCCCGAGGCCTCCTGCTCAGTAAATAGTGTCAAGGTTAGAGCGAGGGATTCATTTGGGCCATAAATGTTTATGGCAGGCCCTTCCCGCTCCCCAGCCACCACAGCCTGAACTTTCCATCAGCGACACTTTTATGGTTGTCCTCTAATGATTAACCCGGGGGCTAGTGGCTGAAGGTGCTTTGCAGTGCGGTCGTGCTGCCAGAGCCCCACACGCCTGGAGAAGCTGGGGCTGGGGGACCCCCATCATCCCCATAGGCTACAGCTGTGGTGGGGGTATGGTGAGGAGGATGTGGAAAACCATCGGTGGTCCTGCAGGGAAAAGGAAGGGCAGAGCCAGCCGGAGAGGGAGCTCAGCATCCCCAGGCATAGGGAGGCAGATGGGCAAGAGAAGGTGTCGGAGCTGGCCCTATGCTCTCGGAGGAGAGAAGGCAATAATTAAAGCTCCTCCACCGTTGGGAAAGGTCGTTAAGGAAAACTGCAGCCTCACACCAGGATTCACCCTGGAGGCTGAGCCCACTGCTCTGGACCCAGGGCTGCGTGGCCTGTGAGGTTAATAGCCCAGTGCACCAGGGCCACGTGCATAATCCAGACAGAAAATCTAATTTTTCTGTTTATCCTGGGTTTTTTGGCTTTTACCTGGTCAGGATAGAGATTTGCAAGACAAAGCCCAGGGGGGCTATGCCCCCCCATCCCTGGAAGTCCCCCTTGCAAGCTGAGGACCCCCCAAATAACCCAGGCAGAGGCTGTGCCACACACTACTTTTTAATGGTGAGCCGACAGTACACAGGAGAAGGAGCACACGACACCGGGGTGATGGAGACTGGCAGCGTCGGATCCAAACTGCCCCATCCAGGAGCTCACCAGCAGCCCCCACGCCAGCAACATCAGCAGGAGATGGGGTCTCTGGGCCATGGGCTGAGCTGCCCCAAAATCACACACAGGCACTGAAACCCAGCTCTTCACCTTTCCCTGGGAAAAGCAGCACCCAGGGCTAGGGACAGCCCTTGCATCGCCCTCAGGGACGGACACGGGTCCTCCTTGGGCACTGGCTTGCAGCTGAGACCTGTCCCTGACCTCCTGCAGACATGGGGAACAGCTCACCCAGCCTCTTCCCCTCCTTCAGCTCACCCAAGCCCTGCCAGGCACTATGAGGAAGAGCTGCCCAGCCCCACTGAGGTCCCTTAGAGATCTGCAAACTTGGAAAGGCCCAAGCTGGTTTGTTTATAAAGCTCTTTTCTTTTTTTTTTTTTCTTCTAATTATTTTTAGCTGCTCATTTATTAGGTCAGCTTTCTTTAACAGGACACTGATTTGTGCTGGCTTTGCTGGAGTACCTCCGTGTGAGCCGAGCGCAGCGGCACACGCCAGTCTCAGGGCATGGAGGATGTTACAGCCCTTTCTTACACATGTTTGTGGGTTATTGGAGTTAAATACACATAAGCAGAGAACAGGCCAATGCAGAGGACCTCCTCCGCCTCCCCACCTCCTGCAGCCCAAAGATTGCTGCAGCCCGAGCATCCCTGCATGGGGAGGGCAGGGCTGGGGCTTAGGGCAGGAGCGGGGCAGCCGGGACGATTGGACCAGACACGGTCACACGAACGCACAGACTCGTCACACAGCTTGCCACACTGAACAGAAACACCTTGGGGGTACCGGGATGGGCAGCAGCTCTGTCCTGGTGGGGCCAGGGCGGTGGTGAGGAGGTCAGCAGGGTCAGCAGCTCCCAACTGCTCCCCAAAAGACCCACCACCCCGAGCTGTCCTGAAGTGCCGCAGTGCAACCTGTGCAAATTGAGGGGGGTGAGGCCCCCACCCCACACCCGCAGCCCATGGATCGCTGGGTCCCCTCACATCACGGATTCCTCCTCTTCCTCTTCCTCCTCCATCTCTCGGTCCACCTCGATGGCCGTGTTCTCATAGCTGGTGATGCCCCCGTATTTCCGCATATGGACCACCAGCGGCTTGGGGGACTGGCTGCCGGCCAGGCTTGCCACGTACATGCCCGTCCGGTTCTCCTCCAGCGATGGGCCCCAGTCCATGGCGGGTCGGCTGGCTTGCTGGACTCGCTGCAAGGAGACAGGCGGAGGGAGCACGGGCACCCCAAACCAGCACCCCCTCCGCTCCCCACCCAGCAGCTCACCAACCCCTCCCGGGGCACTGTGTGCTCTACCAGCCCCAAGGGACTGGAAAAGCCCCCCATGAGGATGAGATGGGGCCAAAAGCTTGTCCTGAAGATTTTTGGGAAGGCAGCTCTGTGTAAATGCCTTGCTGTGGGCTGGGGGGGTATTATGGTCTGTGGGTGCTGGTGGAGAGGGTCTGCAGGAGCTAGGGGCTATTGTAGGGCTATGGCCCTGTGGTGTGGGGTTAGAGTCACCCAGGCAAGGGGTTAGCCTCAGCCAAGGTGGTTCCTGGCCAGGCCACCATGCCCACGGCTATGCCAAGCCAGGTTGCAGCCAGTGAAGTGCTCCAGGTGGTGAGTTACTGCCTGGGGAGGGCAGCAAGCTCTGCTGCCTCTGCTTTTAACAGCCTGGGGAGAGCAGCAAAGCCCAGCCGGGGCTGGGAGGGCTGGGAGCAGCCAGCAGCTCCATAACCTGCTCCTGGGCGAAGCCTTTCAGTGGAAGGATCCCATCTGTGCTGCCTGTACCTGCCTGCACGGTCCGGCTGCTGCCATCCTCGCTCTGTTGTTGCTCCCTGCAAAATGGGTGCAAAGTCCCATGTGCCCATGCCCATCCCGCGCTAGGGACAACGTACTTCCCCACAGGGCAAGGCTTGTTTTGTCGGGGTGATGAACACAGGGCTGGCCCTTGGGAAGCAGCATGACTTGGTGCCTGCTTGGCATCGTGGGAAGGGGCATTGCTGGAAATGCTCTGGGATGTGCCATCTCTCATACCCCATGGGCAGCAAGGAGGGATGGGGACGTGCAGCTCCAGGAGAGAGGATGCAGAAATTTCCAGAGGATATGGGCTTGGCAGGGGCTCGTAGTCACCCCTGCACATTTCTGGGGTGCTCCTCAGCAACACTGGGCCCCAGCACCTCCTACCTCCCACAGCGTCCCTTCTTCTTGGAGCACAGCCACCACCATGCCCATGGGAATCATCAGGCAGGAGAGGACTCCCATGAGGATGCCCAAGACCTCAGCCCAGGCGGGGAAGCGGTAGCTGCCGTACTCGGAGGGCTGGTACTTGACAATGTTGTACACCAGCAGAGCCTGCGGAATGGGAAGAAAGTGAAGTCAGCCCAGAGACCTCTGAAGGTCTCATGCTCAAAAAAGGACTGGAGATGATGGAGACTTCCCAGAAGAACCAGAATGGTCCCTGGAGCAGGAGATGCCATCAGAGCAATTTGTCACAATGGGAGGTCGCCCAGGGATGCTGGCACTACTGCGGCTCTCTAGCACCATCCAGCACCTCAAGCTGAGCAGTTACCATCATTGTTGCCGGGGACAGGACCATCCAGCAGGCTCTGAAGTAGGGCCCGGGTTTGAAGCCCAGCATCATGTGGATATCTCGGCAGAACCTCTTCATGCCTGGAGGAGCGAGAAGGAGAGGGACTCAGAAGCTGTGATCCCTCCCCCAGAGCCAGGTGCCTGTACCAGGCTGCCCTGCACTGATTAAAAGCCGTGGTTAGTGTCTTCTACAGCAAAGAAGTGTCTCCCCTCCCAGCTGGGAGACGCAGGAAAGGGGGCCCAGCTGGTGCTGTCTGAGGGACCAGGCTCAGCACCCCAAGTATCTCTAGCGAGGAGAATCCCGTGACGGCCAAGAAGAAACAAGTAGTGGGAGCAGAGGTGTTTCATTCTCCATTGTGAGGCTACTGACTCCCCTACCGCTCCCTCTAAATCCTTCCCTTCATACAGACAGCCCACCTTTCCCCATGCCCCTGCTGGGACAGACACCCTTACCATAGACACGTGTCACCACGAGGCAGGTAGTGATCACCACCACCATGAGACCAAAGCCAGCACTGTAGTCATCCAGTAGAACCAGCCAGTACATCCCACCCTGAGGAGGAAAAGCACAGTGGCCAGCATCTCCAGGACCATCGTCCCAATGAACTCCCACCCGTATCCTCCAGGTTTTAGGGACACATCCCCTTAGCCCCTTTGTGGGCACTGGGGAAGGCAGTGGTCAGACACCCTCAGGGGGCATCACTCTCCTTCTGGGGTTCGTGCAGGGACAGGAATAAAGCTCCCCTTGGACCTCACATCCCCAGGAAGCCCAAGCTCATCAATTGTCTCTCTTCCACCTTGTTAGGTGATATGGATATAGGTGTCTCTGCAAACTTGGCCCCTGCCCTAAGCTCTCCCTAACATGAGGCCCTAGTCAGCCCCCACAACACATCCAGCCCCACACCCTTACCTCTGTTGTGAGGATGAGCCCCATCAGGAAGAGGGCGATGCAGATGATGGCCGAGAACGAAGCTTTCTTTGGCCGCAGGTAGTAGGGAAATTCGTCTGTCACTGCCGTAACGATGGTCTCCATAAAGGCAAACTGCATGCAAAGGAGAAGAGGGTCCCCTGAGTGCCCGGGCTGCCTGGGCACCACGGCTGACTCGGTGGGCTCTGTCCTTACCTGACTGTCCAGGCCCAAGGTTAACAGCATGAAGAAGAACAGGAAAGACCAGAATGGAGAAAGGGGGAGCATTGTCATGGCCTGGGGGTACACCACAAAAGCCAGGCCAGGACCTAGGGGAGACAAAGGACAGCAGGGTGAAAAGGGGGTGATAGTGCTGAGGATGGGGGGGATGGAGGAGAGGAGAGTCCAGCAGAGCGGCACCGCAGCGGGGACCTGCCAGGGCTCTTGCAAGATGGGCAGGAGGGGTCCTGCAGTAAAGGGTGGAGGGGTGCAGGAGAACCAGCCTGCTCCTTGCTCAGACTTTTATTAGACATCACTTGGTGTTGCTCAACGTTTGCATGGTAGGAACTGGTTTCCCCCCTTCCCTCCCCCTGGCCAGCTGAGCAGCTTCATCCCTCAGGCTGATGCCTTCCATCCTGGAAGGGATGCTCCTCAGTGCACCCAGGCAGAGGGTGAAGGAGAAAGGATCTTCGTTTGGCCTCACCTGCTTTTGCCACCTGGTTAACAGGGACCCCAAGCTCCTGAGACATGTATCCCAAAACGGAGAAGATGGCAAACCCTGCCAGAATGCTGGTGATGGCATTGCCCAGGGTCACTATGAAGGTGTCCCTATAGAGGAGAAAGAAGATGCTCTGAACATGCCCACTCCTTCCCACCCCACCCCAGTGCACAGAGACACTGCCAGTCCCAGGTGCCACAGTTGGGTGACCCAGTGTGATTCTCCTACAGGGCCTCTCTTGGCATGTGCTTTCCAGGGTCAAAAGGAGTGTATATCTAACGGCATGGGTCATTTTGTGGGGTTCCTCCCAGGCTTTCCTTCCTCTGTGGAGGGCATCAGCCCAAATATCCAACACTCAGACTCCCCTCTCTGTTGGTGACCTGCAACAGATGCTGGGAACAGGACAAACATGCATAGCTCTAGCTTCAAATATCCTCAGCCTTCAGCACCTACAGCCCAAAACTTCTCAGCCAGGTGCTGTGCCTTGATGCTTAGGAGAATTTTCTCCCACAGGTCCCTCTGTCCCTCTCGAGTCTGCACAAGCTGCCAGGTGTCTGTAAGGTGCCTGGGCAAGGAGCAGCGCTGGGTGACTACGTGCTGCACCGTGTGCTTCTGCTGGGCCTTCAACCCACCAGCTGAGGTTTTCACGGCTTCCCCTAACCCATGATTTTTATGAGACAGCAGCTGGCTCCCACCTGTAGATATTCTGATGGAAGGTGTTGTACGAGGCGAAGGTGAGGAGGCCCCCAAAGCCTACCCCAAGGGAGTAGAAAATCTGCAGGGCTGCCTCGATCCACACCTGGGGGAAGGAAGCAGGTCTGAGGAGAGAAGGGGTTTGGAAACCTCCTTCTGAGGAAAAGGGAGTTGGAAATATGCTTCCCCAAAGCCCCCGACACATCTTCTCCAGTCCTCCAGGCACACAAAGCCCATGGGGTCTTTGCCTTTCCTTGCTAACACGCTCACCACCGGTAGTGGGTCAGCGGGCTAGAGGAAGGGCTAACAAGAGTGTTTTAAAGCCAGCCCAGCACGGCGTTAAGTGCCCTTGTAAAACTGGGTGGTCTCTGCTACCAACACTGCTGACCCAAGGAAACTCCCTGCTCCGCAGGCTGAGATCGCTTGAGAAAAACAGAACAGCCAAATCCACCACGGGTACCCATCGCCACCCCCGAGCCCATCACAGGGGCTGGGCTCATCCTGCCCACGGTCCTCCTACGCAGGGGAGGTGGTGAGCACTCCATCCCCTGCACGGGGAGCCAGAAATGGGGCTGGGCCAGGTGGGAAGAGTGGTATAGACAAGGTGTGGAGCAAAGACAGGCTGCCGAAAGGCAAATACTCTTGGTCTAGGAGCAACCAAGAGAGAGGACTTTAGGTCAGAGGGTGGCCAGGGAAGGCATCTGAATAAGGGAACCGCCTCTGTTCCATGCAGGAGGTGGCAGGAGAAGGTTCATTTTTGTGTCTTGAACAAATTGCACAAGCTCCTGCTCACCTTGGAAGACAGTAAGTGATCAAACTGGGGTGTGAGGTAAAACCGGATCCCCTTCCAGGCCCCCTCCAGAGTCACGCCACGAATGAGCAGCATCACCAGGATGAGGTACGGGAAGGTGGCAGTGAAGTACACGACCTGCGGAGGAGCAGAGCCAGCTGGGAGAACCGAGAGCGAGAGCACAGCACGAGTGCTACCCCCCCAGCCCTGTCCTCAGGGTGGGACACTGCATCGCCCGGCATCACGCTGCCGTGCTGGGTGCCTCGGGATGTAGCACGGCTAGGGGTGTCAGCCCTGCCCGCGTCTGGGTGTGCAAACCATCCCCGAAGTGGCCTGTGTCCAGCTGATGCTGTTTATGGGTCTCACTTTCCCAGATGTGCAGAGAATGGCAGGCACTCGTAAGCATCGCTGTAGATCCCTGCAAAAGAGACTGTCCAGCCCTTACCTTGCCAGAGGATTTGACTCCCTTTAGGATGCACAGGTAGACGATAGTCCAAGAAAGGAGGAGGCACAGACACAAGTTCCAGCGGATCCTCCCGGGATCCCCGATCCCAGAGCTCCCTTGGATGTGCAGGACGTACCGGCTAGGGAGAAAGCAGAACGGCTAGTGAGCAGCCACGGGCACCCCCTGCCTTTTTCCAGAGGCCCTCTCTGAACCTAGCAATGACTCTGCTGCAAAAAATAACCTTGTCAAAACTCCCGGCAATGAAAGCAACAAGCTGCTGGAAGCTCTTTGCCAGGGAAAGGGGAGAAGCTTGTGTGACTTCACCATGCATTAAAGAGCGCAGAGAGGACGCCTGGTGGCTTGAGAGCAAACACCCAGCTGGTCCAGGCGTGGGATGAATTTCAGTCTAACATATCTCCAGGCCAGCAAAGTAGCACTAGATCATGGACACCTCCCACATCCCAGCGACATGATCCCAATGGCTAAACTGAGATATCACCCGCAGCTGACCACAAGAGCCCACCACGGCACCCACAACACCAACCCTGAGTTCCCACCATGCCACGAGATGTGCAGCACAGACCCTTCACCCCTCATCCCATCCCCATGCTCTCCCTGGTCGGGTGCCAACCATGTCCCCACAGGCAGGTTGGGCTGACCTCTTTACCTCCAGTACTCCTCGCTGGGGCTGACGGTGTTGGTGATGTTGACGGGGAAGGTGGTGTTCCCCGCCTTGATGACGTGGTGGTCCAGGCACAGGTCGGTGTTCCACCAGTTGCCGCAGTGTTGCCAGGGCAAGTCGCTTGTGAGGGATGCAAAGAGGTAGAAGAGAACGTAAGCAATGATCATATTGTAGTAAATGGCCACCAAGGAGACGATGAGGATCGTGCCCATGCCAATGCCTGGAGGAAGGAGAGGGTAAAGAAGGAGTAAGCCATCTCTCCGGAGCAGAGCACATCCAAAACCAGGGTCAGACACTGGATCTCAGCAGTCAAATGTTTAACCAGTCAGAGGTTCACCTGGTGGGGGGAGCCTTTTATTGCCATTATACCCTCTGGACATGCCTTCTCTGAATTGATGATCTATTGCATCATACAGATAATTTTACTCCAACTTAATGTTGAGAGTAAAAGTATTTGATTTGACCTTTTTTTGAACACTTTATTCTTACCTTTGTCTTTAACAGTCATTGCTTAGCTTTGATGCTGTATTTTGTACACTAGCTGGCTTAATGATTTTCATACAATTTCTAGAGCTGGTCATGATATCCAGAGCCTCCAGAGACTGATAGATCTCATACATATCTTGTGGCTACTAAAACAGGTAACCCAGAAGTCCAGCTTGCTCCACCTTCCCCTAGGACTTAACCTTTGATTCTAACAAGAGATTTGAGGATCATGGGATGCTGCTGCCGGTCCATGTCCTCATCAAGCAGCTTTTCCAGCGGCCCCACAGAGGTTCTGGATTTCACTCACGCACCTTTAAAGAGAGGGCTTATCTTCCAGACGGCGAGCGGCCCCAGGCTAGAGAACTGGCCAAGTGACAGCTCCATGAAGAAGATGGGGATCCCACAGATGGCTAGCATGATGAAGTAAGGAACCAAGAAAGCTCCTGCAAGAAGCAAGAAAAAAACCCTAAAAATAACACAGAGCAAAGACCTAAAGCCTATCTATGACAGGGAATAAAGTTTCTTCAACATCTGTGGCCCTGAGGGATCTACACCAAAATCTGGAAGACAGCAAGGGGCAGCAGCTCACCATTACTGCAAGAGGAAGGGGCTGTGCTTCACCTGGTGCTGTGTTTCCCCCCCTTGCCCTGATTCTCTTTTCTCCTTGAATCTTAGACAAACACCATGAAATTCTCCAGTTATTATTGCATGTGACAAGCAATTACTCTGGGAGTAGTTGAACAAGCTGGGCACTTTGCACCATCACACCGGGCTCTTGCATTGCAAAAGGCTTGCCCCCCTCCTTCGATACCTGGGAAGCATTTGCTGACCCTGCTGAGTCCTGGAGGACACCAGGCCAAGAAGCTATTGGAAACCAAGAGGGATGCTCAGGTGGTACTTAGTCCACCATGGAGCTGGAGATGTCTCCAGGGCTACGAGTGCAGAGGTGGGCTGGTGACTCCCTTCCACACATGGGTACAGGTGGTTAATGCCCTACAGCAAGCGTGGGGGACAGGAGGAAGCTTCACCCCACAACAACAAATGCTACTTCCCAGCCCCGAGACGAGGAAGGGGCATCTCTTGAGAGACACGTCCCACCATGCCAGCTCAGTGAGGGGGAGACATGGTTCCTCCAAAGGATGCCCAAGTACCTCCTCCATTAGTGTAAGCCCTGTAGGGGAACCTCCAGACGTTTCCAAGGCCCACACAGTATCCGATGCAGGAGAGGAGGAAATCCAGCTGCCCCGTCCAGTTCCCTCTGTCTTCCGGGCACTCGGAGCCCAGGTCCCCGTCCTGGCTGCTGGGGCTCACCAGGAGATCTGGGGTCACCGGCTGAGCAAGAGAGCAGGGCATGGGAGAGGGAAGCCAGGGGTTGCAGAAGGAATAAAGACAGGGGATGAAGAGTGGGAGAGAGGGAAGGAGTGCTGAGAGTTTGGGTGTGAATGTGTGACCCCAAGTCACAGCACTGACACTTGTCCCTTGGGGACATGCCGTCCCAGCAGTTCTCTGTGCACCACCCCAGCCAACGTCCTACTGAGCAAGGCAAGGGAATAAATGTGATCCCACATGGCCAGAGCCCCCCTGTGAAAGGCAGGATGGCCCTAGTTCACCCTGGGAGGCCAGGACCCATCTTGCAACCCCAGTATCCCAAGAAATCCTTCCAAGGAACCATGATAAATTTTCTCCATCTCCTGCAGAACATAGATGTGAGGACAGCAGGGGAAGAACCACCACGCCATGCCCAGGAGCACAACACCCCAGCCCCACGTGCCCCTGCCATGCTGGACACTTGGTTGCCATTAAATGCTCTGTGTGTTTTTCATGCTTTTTCAACCGCCGAAAACCTACACTGCGGGGATTTAGTGATGTGCTCTGAGTTGTCCCTGCTGACAGAGCTCCTTCCAGATTTCCTAATCTGCCCTGGATCAGTGAGGCACAGGCAGCTCTTCAGCAGGCAGGGGATTAACCCATTCCCTTCCTCTCCAAGTGCCTCAGCTCTGCAAGAAAGAGGTGTGAGTCCTGCAATACATTTAGGTTGGGGTGCTGCACTCTGAGGGCAGAGGGGTGCTTGGTGTTTACATGTGTGTTTACATCAGGTCTGCAGTGAGATGTTTGGTCTGTATGAGCTTCCCTAGCCTCCCGACCTTGGGAGAGTGGGAAAGGCATCCCCACTGGCTCCCGTCCCACCGGCAGTCACCAAAGCTGAAAGCCTCAGCCGGCAGCTGCCAGGTGAGATCCCATCACCGATATCCCCTCGGCAAGACTGGGAAGCAAAAAGGGATGGGATGAGGATCCTGCCTCTCTGCATTGCTGTGCCCCTGCCAGGGAGTATATTGGGTTTGGCTGGTATTGAGGAACAGAGGCAGAAGGATGCTGGGGTCCCTGCTGAAAAGGCATCAAGACCAGGGCAGGAGAAACCCATTTGGGAACCTTCCCTTCTTCTTGGGCTCTCAAAAGAAAAAAACCAGCCATCTCTGTGTCCCTGACTTCACAGATCATAGGGAACAAGCCCATGGGATGTTGTTGAGGGAGAGGGGCCTGGATTTGGAGGGATCAGCCAGGAGGAGTTGTGGGTTTCCCTGCACCATTGTGCACATATGCTCAGAGCCCGCAGCAGACCTCCATCCCTCGGGAGATCAGAGCTGGCTGGCGAGCAGAGCCCAGCACTGCCCTGCCGCAACCCGAAGGGGAATGTGGCAGCCATCTCCTCTCCTCTTCCTCCTCCTCTTCCTGTCCAGCTGGACCACTGGATGCTCTTGCTGCCAGTTCCCATGAAGACAAGGAGCTGGATGCCGATGGTGATGGCGGCAGGCTCCCACCCTTCGCAGGGTGCACCCCACTCCTCCAGCACCTCACATGTACTGCTCACAGCCCAAAGGCATCAAACACGGATGTGAACCCATCCCCACCCAGCATGCAAACCCCTCGAGAGAAAGACAAGCTGGGCCAAACTCTTCCCAAAGCCAACCTAAAATGCACAGCCCGAGCAAAGGCATTGCTACACTAAACGCCACCATTAAAAGCCCATCCCTGCTGGATACCACCATCACAAAGCAAAGGCCAGAAGAAAAAGCTTCAGAAACACAGGCTGAAGAGTCAAAATGTGACCCAAATATAATGCTGTTGCTATAAAACTATTGCTACCTGGCAGCCCTCTTGCAGCTATTTAATACAGCTCTCCGGCTTAGCAACTTCTCCAAACCATGGCCATGCCTGCTAATTAACCCAGCACACACAGCAGGCATCACCTGCAGCAACCTCTGTTTGCGGGTGATGGACAAATTGCTCTGCAATATCCCTCCTGAAAGTTTCAGCCGCTCAAACCTGTATTCACAAAGGTCTCTGCCAGGTGGGGACAGGAGCTGTGGGACCATCACTGTTTGGTCTTCCCCCAAAAAATTCTTCCCAGTCCATCACACTGCCTGGAGACCTCTCGCTTTCCCAGTTTGCATCACAGAAAAACAGCAAGCAGGGATGCTGGGTGATCATTTAATCCTCTCACCTAATTCCTGGACCTCTGCCTGAATCCTAAACAGCTGCAAGAGGGCACCAGTGAAGCCGCATGACCTGATGAAATGCAGGTGCCATCCATCAGATGTAACATGGAAATCAACACAGAAACAACAAAAAGAAAAGAAAGGAACTAATGAGACCTTTTCCAAGCTGTACATGGCCCGGTCTCCATCCCAGTCACCCTTTTCAAAAGCCATGGGATGCAGTTTGTCACCTATGTCTCGGTGATGACTGCCCCCCTTATTAATATCTTTAGCTGGAGCTCTGCAGTTTAAATTTGGGATGCCAGAGCAGAAAGCAGAGACTGCTCAGGAGTTGGATAGACCCCAAGGATGGTGACATTGCGGTCCCCACCGGGCAGGCTGGGGAGGTAAGGGCCAGGGATGCTGCTGGAAAACACATGCAGAGGCTGCTCCATGACTGCGACACCCAAAAATAGCCCAAATCACAGCCTTTCCGTAGACATCACAGAAAACTTGCCCTATTTACCTGACTCAAAATGAATTGCAAAATGCAGTATTTAAGTATTCCAGCCCATCTTTGTCCCAAATAGCCGACAGATGCACACCTCTCTGCTACAGGCTGCTGAAAATCTCACACACCGGCTCAACTCCAGCCCTTTTTTTAGAATTAATGCTCCCTTTCAGCCTTTGTCATAACAGGAATTTTCTTTTTCAGTAGCAGCTGAAGTGCTCTAGTGCTACAATATCGCTCTAGTGCGTTCCACCATCAACTGTGATCTTTCAAACCGGGCTCCCGTCTCGCGGTTATAAACAGACGGGGACTAACAGCTCCCTTGGCAACCACGTCCTCTTTGAACACAGCATCACTTTCCATTATTCACCAGAAGATGCTCCCAAAGAAGCCAGCAAAGCAAAGGTCATTGAGAAGAAAAAGCACTTTAGTCTCTACCAAGATAAGAGCTGGCTTCCATCAGGAAATTGCCCTATGCTAATTATTTTCTGTAAACCAATTTACTCAAACCAGTGCAAAACTCAGCTGTATCCATGAAAAACCAGCCAGATTAAAATTACTTTTTCATCCTATTTTGTTTCCATTCAGACTGGCATTGTGGGGTTATTTTGTCAGTGTTCTGTGCGTTGACCACAACCTTTGTTTGGGAGAAATGCCACCCGACGCCAGATTTCTCCCCTGTGGATCCGAGCCGTGTGCGAGCACAGTGTGTAAAGTGTGAGTCACTTCAGATTAGTTTGGATTGGTTGTTAATCTCTTCGAAAGAAATAAAAAAACCAGCATAAAAATTAATTCCAATGTAATACTGCTTAGAAAGTGAAGTAAATAAAGCATCCTTATGATGTGGAAGAACCCCTTGAAGGGCTGCACTGACTCTGGTTTCCCCCAACCCAGGATCACAGCACATGCAAGGAGAGGGAGCAAGCGATGCTGGAGCCAGCACAGGGGGTTTGGGGGCTGGAGATTGCTGAGGCTGAAGCAAACTCATTACAGTGATGTCCAGAGCGCAGGGAGCATGCACAGCTGTAAATGCTTATGGTCTTTCATCCAAAAACCCTGGGGAAGGAGCAGGGGAGGTTTGAGGCAGTTTGTGGCAGGTAGAGAAGGGCAATGGCTCAGGCAGGACGATGCTGCTTGGCAGCCTGGCTGGGTATGGGGAGGAGCAGCCCAAATCCTGGCTCCCATCACTGTCCTTTGTGGGCTTTAGTCTATTTCTACTGAATAGCCCCCAAAGCAAATAATCAAACAAATAAAAAACATCCACGCAGCTCTTCTGGAAATACTACTATGCAAAAGCCAACCTGAAATCCTTAGAGCCTGAGAAAGATCTTCTCTATTAAAGAGGAATTTTCATATGTCTAAAACATGGCTGGTGAGAAAGCTTAAAACTCCCGGCTCACCGATGGGAAGTGGAACATATTGAGAGGGAGAGGAGGTTGTTGGGGTGCTGGGGCACGTGCTGTGGCCGGGGCCATGCAAACTCCTCCATCGGCTGCGGCCAGCTCTGGACAAGCCCGATGTCGGCATTGGGCATGGTGGTCCCAATGTACTAGGTGGCTGCGAACACCAGGTTCTCCATCTGGAGCTCAGCAAGAGCATTTTGGGGTAATGAAGGCCAGCAGGGCCCTGAGGAGCATTGGGAATGGGGAAAATAACTCCGGAGACATCTGTTTTCCATTCCAGAGGATCGCTGTGGGGCTAAACGAATTCCTGAATAAATGTTAAATAGGATCACAGCAGCAGAGAAATTCAAGTATCTCAAAAAGCATTTGGAAGGGACAAAGACAACTTTTAATGGATCTTGCAGTCACAAAGTCATCGGGAAAAAACAATTTGTAGGAAAGAGGAGGAGAGGGAAGAGCCAGATGATGCCTCCAAGCAACAGCGGAGCACGGTAGGCAGCCCTGAGGCTGCCAGGGCCATCAGACAGCTGCTGGCTTTCACCAGGCCACTGCCAGCTCTTTTACGTCATGTCCCAATATCCTAGGAATTTCCTGGCAGGGATGAAACTCCCCTGGGTTTTCATTCATCTGAAGGTTGGCACAGGTTGGCATCACCCTTCCCTGTGGTTAATGGGCACGGTTTGGCAGAGAGCAGAGCCAAAGGGGCTCACAGCTCTGGGTCATGCCCGGGATG